ACAAATTGCTTTACGTTAAGCCAAGGTCGAATTCGAACCTTGGTACAAATTACTTTGCGTTAAACCAAGGTCGAATTCGAACCTTGGCACAAATTACTTTACGTTAAACCAAGGTCGAATTCGAACCTTGGCACAAATTACTTTATGTTAAGGCAAGGTCGAATTCGAACCTTGGTATAAATTACTTTACGTTAAGCCAAGGTCGTTTCATACTCTACAACAACCATGGAAGGAGGAAGCCATCAATTTTGACCTTGAGCATCGTGCCTGAGTCTATTATTTATAGGCACGAAAATCCACCAGAATAGGCCCTTCCAATTTCGAAACAGGCCCTTCTGGACTTTTCTGTTATGTGTAAAATTTGAATTTGGAATGGCCCGTTCTAGATTTTAATTTTACCCATAACAGACTAGGCTAGAATAAGGCATTCTGACCTAGGGTTACAAGCCTTGTTTTAAGATTGGAATGGCCCGTTCTGATTTGGGAACAGCCCATTCCGGGCTACTAATTCTGGCACTTTTTTTTTGGATATGATGAATCATAATTTTCGTGCATTTTCTTACCTTTGTAACCTCCTATTAAATATTGTTAGTGCCTTATTGTTTTCTCTTGCCATATTTTATTGTTTTGAGGTTTATTGGGCTATTAATTTTGAATTTCATTTAATTGGATTTATTAGCCTAATTAATTTCATAATCATTTTGTAGAGAACTTGGAAGCACTTATTGGACTAGGAGCACTACCACATGGACCTGCCACGTGGACCAACTTCAGCATAGTATTTATTTAATTTTTTTATTTTTTATTTTGCTATGTAATGGGCCAACCGGGTCAGCCCAACTTCTTGGACCCAAATTCATTCAAAATTTCGGAGGGAACAACTAGGTCAAAATGTTAGGTCAGACTAGGGGGATACATACAGCCGCCACTCTTGATTTGGCTCCTGGACGAGTTTTAAGACACACCATTTTTGTATGCCAACATGAACTTTTATGTAGCTTTTACCCTTTAGCTTTTCGTTTTCTTCTTCTTCTTCCATTTTCTTCTTCTATTTCTTCTTCTGTTTCTTCCTCCATGGAAGGCTAAACTGTAACACTTTCTAACTCAGTTTAAATGATCATTGAGGTTTGTTTATTTCATTGCATCTTCGTGTTCTAATCCTTGTTTTCTCCATACTTAATGGTATTTATTCAACTGGATTGAATGCTTTGCTCATGGTTTGCTTAATCCCGTGAAATAGAGAAATGAATGTATGTTAATGCTTTATTTGTATGCGTTCAAAACAATGGCAATGATGTTTAGTGATTACTAGAAACTGAACCAAGATGATGGAGGGCCACCCTTGGAGCTTCATGTTGGACCCGTTACTAGGTCCATGGCTAGGAGAATGGAGGAAGATGAAGGAGATACCATGCCTAGAGCCATACTCGTCATGAGTGTGGAGTATTGACCCATGTCCTAGGCCCTTTTTGAGTAGTAAAGGATTTTATTGCTTTATTTCCATTTTTACCCTTGTATTTTGGGGTACTTTAGATAATAGGATTTTATTATGTATTTTAATTTAGACTTTGTATTCTGGGGCAAATTAGTTTAGGATTTATTTTAGGGCTTAAACCTTGACTTGTGAGGTTAAAGTCCATTTTTTTCTATGTTTTAGGTCAAAGGGTATTTTGGTCTTTTGGTATGAAGGAACCCACACATCATCTAGGGTTCATTTAGGTTGCATTTGGCTTGCATTTAGGCTGCATTACATGGCCATGCAACCCTAAATGCAATCCTAGATGCCTTCCCACTCTTATAAATACCCCTAGCCTAGCACCTTGTACATATTTTGGAATACATGAATTTGAGTGAGCATTTTTGCCTCAAATCCTCTCCTTAGTCACTAGGTCTACACGGCCTACCTCTCCTATCTCCTCCCTAGAGTAAGTTTAGGGTTCCCTTGAGTGGCCTTCATCTCCACTTGGTGAAGAGAGCCAACTAGAACACCTAAAAACACCATCCTCCCAACCTTTCACCTATTCGCCCAAGACTCCACCTTTCACGCCCACCATCACTTAGCCTCACCCTTGAAGGAACGTCCACCCTCTAAGGTCACCATCTTGGCCTTGGCAAGGAGCTCTTCTTCACCATTGAACGTTTTGATCATCCCCTTGGTGGAAGGAGTCCATCACAAGGTTTAAAACGGTAGAAGATAATATTTGGAACCAATGATTTGTGTGTTGTCGCAACCCGAAAATTTCCGATCTTGCGACTAATGGTTTAGACATCCTTTTTGAAAATCTCATCAATTAAGGAATGCCCAGACGCCAGGCTAATCCTTAATCAATGGTTTTGAAAATAAGTTCATGGAGTCGCCACCAATGTTTTACTCAAAACATTAGAAAAAGAAAAGATTTTTAAAAGTCCAATAATGGCCTTAATAACCAGAATTGGGTTCGGGGGTCGGTTACGTGTAGGGAAGGTATTAAGCACCCCTACAACGCCCTAAATCGGTACCCTATGATGAAGATAACGTAATAAGAATTAATAGTTTAAATATTTAATCCCCTTTATTAATGATTATTTACATGAAAATTAAATTACACGATGAACCTCTAAGATATCTACATAATTGCGTTCATTATAATAATATGTAAAATAAAACAAGAGATTGATGAGTAATACCTCGTAACAAGCCTTATTGGATCTTAAACTATGGAAATTTTAGGTGCTTTGTGGCAACCTTTAACACTACAATTGCCTCATAATACTCAAGAAATACAACAGGAGAGAGAGAGAAAAAAAAAGGGAGAAATTTCGAGCTCTAAGGAGTGCTGGACAAAATTTTTTTGGAGTCCCCTGAACTGTGCCCGAGATTTCCTATTTATAGGCATCAGACGTGGGCCGGAACGGCCCGTTCCGAATCCAAACGTTATGTAGCATTTTCGTACCCTAGAACGGCCCGTTCTCAAATCAGACGGCCTGTTCCGGGGAACTAGAACGGCCCGTTCTGAAGTGAGAACGGCCCGTTCCGGGGTACAAAATTTAGCCTCTTTGATTGGTTTGGAACGGCCCGTTCTGGTCTAGAAGGGCCCGTTCCAACATACATTTTTAGGACTTTTAGAAGCCTCGGAACGGCCCGTTCCGGGTCACTAAAAATGTTAATTTAGGCTTTTGGGCCCTCTGATGTCCTATCTTGTTGTTTGTTTGCCTCCCAGACGAAATTGGGTGTCTACAGCTGCCCTTCTTTACATGTCCTTTGGAATAGTTGTGTTGCTTTTCCAAAGGCAAGTAAAGACGTAGACATTTCGTTTGGGTCTTCTTCTTGTCTCTATGTTGATGCTTCTACGTTGCTTCCCTTGGACGAGTGTATTTGCTTGTATCCTCCCCCTTTAGAGCAGTTGAGCATTGATTACGTACTCTATTGGGTAACAAGGTTGAAAAACTGTACACCTGATCTTCAGTCTTCGAGTAGAAGCTCCATTGTTTCTCTTGTGATAGTGAGGTGGAGATCCGGTTCTTCAACATGCTGATGTTGAGTATTGTTGTGCCGGCCTCTCCAAGCCGCCTGCTGATATTGTGAGTATTGTTGTGCCGGCCTCCCCAGGCCTCCTGCTGATATTATGAGTATTATTGTGCTGGGCTCTCCAGGCCGCCTGTTGATATTGTGAGTATTATTGTGCCGGCCTCTCCAGGCCGCCTGTTGACATTGTGATTGTTGTTGTGTCGGCCTCTCCAGGCCGCCTGCTGATACGAGTATTGTTGTGCCGGCCTCTCCAGGCCGCCTGCTAATATTGTGAGTATTATTGTGTCGGCCTCTTTAGGTCCAACTATTGGGGTGTAGCTGGCAAGGAGCCGTGTTGATAAAATTCAAAAAATCACACTCAAACTGTGTGAAGGGTAGACACACACCTAAATCCCTAAAGAAACATTGATACATGTAGAAAAAAGGAATATTTGGGACACCCCCCATATATACATGCTCACCAGGTTGGCAGGGCTCAACCAGGATGAGCTTGGAGATTGACGCTTGACAGATCCTATGCGATTTCCACATCGCATTGATCTCAAGAAAAGATTTAAAGACACTTTGAAACTCTCCGACATCCCCCCAGACCCATTCATAGCCCGGGACGGTAATGGCAGGGTGGGAATCTTTAGGGTTATTCCCACCCT